AAGCCCTGCAGTTAAGAAACTTTTGGGATGGAAACAAGGTGACGAGGAGGAATAGTGGGACCAGCGGTAGATAGTTCAGTAAAAAGTTGAAAAAACGTAAAGGTGCTATAGATGATTTAGAAAGGACTTCTTCTTGCCATTCCAACAAATATTGGAACCAAACATGCCTATAATATGAGATATTTATGGAATGGTTTTAATTCGCCCCACATCAGCCTTAGCTCTCACATATCTAATCTATATAGTCCAGGAAGTGTTACCAGTTTCCTATAACTAGTAATGTTTCTTCTAACCATACAAGAAATATTTGTGGATGCGATTAAGAAGAATACAATTACCTACAATTAAGAAGATTACAATTTTTATGTTTACATACTGTTAGCTTATGTTTTAAATAAAGAGTTTTGTAGAATTTTAAAATTGGAATTTAAAAGAGTGGAAAGTGCAGTATTAGCTCCAGTCTTAGTACCACTGATGAACAGCTTATTTTCATTTACAAGCCCTGCAGTTAAGAAACTTTTGGGATGGAAACAAGGTGACGAGGAGGAATAGTGGGACCAGCGGTAGATAGTTCAGTAAAAAGTTGAAAAACGTAAAGGTGCTATAGATGATTTAGAAAGGACTTCTTCTTGCCATTCCAACAAATATTGGAACCAAATATGCCTATAATATGAGATATTTATGGAATGGTTTTAACTCGCCCCACATCAGCCTTAGCTCTCACATATCTAATCTATATAGTCCAGGAAGTGTTACCAGTTTCTTATAACTAGTAATGTTTCTTCTAACCATACAAGAAATATTTGTGGATGCGATTAAGAAGAATACAATTACCTACAATTAAGAAGATTACAATTTTTATGTTTATATACTGTTAGCTTATGTTTTAAATAAAGAGTTTTGTAGAATTTTAAAATTGGAAGTTAAAGAGTGGAAAGTGCAGTATTAGCTCCAGTCTTAGTACCATGATGAACAGCTTATTTTCATTTACAAGCCCTGCAGTTAAGAAACTTTTGGGATGGAAACAAGGTGACGAGGAGGAATAGTGGGACCAGCGGTAGATAGTTCAGTAAAAAAGTTGAAAAACGTAAAGGTGCTATAGATGATTTAGAAAGGACTTCTTCTTGCCATTCCAACAAATATTGGAACCAAACATGCCTATAATATGAGATATTTATGGAATGGTTTTAATTCGCCCCACATCAGCCTTAGCTCTCACATATCTAATCTATATAGTCCAGGAAGTGTTACCAGTTTCCTATAACTAGTAATGTTTCTTCTAACCATACAAGAAATATTTGTGGATGCGATTAAGAAGAATACAATTACCTACAATTAAGAAGATTACAATTTTTATGTTTACATACTGTTAGCTTATGTTTTAAATAAAGAGTTTTGTAGAATTTTAAAATTGGAATTTAAAAGAGTGGAAAGTGCAGTATTAGCTCCAGTCTTAGTACCACTGATGAACAGCTTATTTTCATTTACAAGCCCTGCAGTTAAGAAACTTTTGGGATGGAAACAAGGTGACGAGGAGGAATAGTGGGACCAGCGGTAGATAGTTCAGTAAAAAAGTTGAAAAACGTAAAGGTGCTATAGATGATTTAGAAAGGACTTCTTCTTGCCATTCCAACAAATATTGGAACCAAATATGCCTATAATATGAGATATTTATGGAATGGTTTTAACTCGCCCCACATCAGCCTTAGCTCTCACATATCTAATCTATATAGTCCAGGAAGTGTTACCAGTTTCTTATAACTAGTAATGTTTCTTCTAACCATACAAGAAATATTTGTGGATGCGATTAAGAAGAATACAATTACCTACAATTAAGAAGATTACAATTTTTATGTTTACATACTGTTAGCTTATGTTTTAAATAAAGAGTTTTGTAGAATTTTAAAATTGGAATTTAAAAGAGTGGAAATTGCAGTATTAGCTCCAGTCTTAGTACCACTGATGAACAGCTTATATTCATTTACAAGCCCTGCAGTTACACAAAACTTTTGGGATGGAAACAAGGTGACGAGGAGGAATAGTGGGACCAGCGGTAGATAGTTTAGTAAAAAAGTTGAAAAACGTAAAGGTGCTATAGATGATTTAGAAAGGACTTAAGTATAAAGGTTATTCTGGTTTGGTTATTTAATTAAATTATTCTGGGTGCCGGGCCACAGCGGCATCCAAGGCAACGAAAAAGCCGATGAACTAGCTAGGCAAGGATCATCGGCATCTTATCTTGGTCCAGAGCCAGTACTGCGAATACCCAAATGTATGGCCCGTAGTGCACTAAAACTCTGGATCAAGGAAAAGCAAAAAGTCCACTTGAGAAACAGACAGGGGCACAGGCACAGCAAGGCTTTTATCCAAGGACCTAGCTCTAAAACCGCAAAAGAACTGCTAATGCTTAGCAGGAATAAAGTGCGGATTACAACAGGCCTCTTGACAGGACACATGGCTGTCAAGTGTTATCTGAACAAGCTCAACCTGTATCAAGGAAGTCTTTGTTGCAGACTCTGCGATAAAGATCCTGAAACAACGGAGCACATAATATGTCATTGCGAGGCTCTGGATCGCAAGCGACACTCTTTATTTGGGAAAGCTAGGCTAGAACCGGAGGAACTATGCTCCCCCATCCTATCAAGGACCTGCATAAGCTAGTGCAGGGCACAGGGATAGGAGAATGGGTGCAGATATAGAAGGGGGACAAACACAATAGGCCTCACAGGTTGCAGTGTTTCCGGCAGAGGACCGCCCCTTGTTATGGAAAAAGAAGGTTATTCTGGGTAACTAAATAGATGCGCGGCTATCCCTAGAAGTTTCGATGGAAGACTGCAGGTTTGTAATTTTTGAGGTGAAACTTCTTTACGCGATTTGTGACAGTGATTCAAATTATTTATTGATTTTTTATTTTCGCTTATGAAACTATTTGTTACACGTAAAAAACTATTTATTATACGCAAAAAGCTATGTTAAAAAGCTTTTTTCACCTAAAAAAAAATAGAAAGGATTTTAAGTTTTTCTAAAAAACAATTTTTTTCATATAAAAAACTATTTGTTACACGTAAAAAACTATTTATTATACGCAAAAAACTTTATTATACGCTTCTGTTGCAGATTTCTCATAGGAAAGGGTTGCCTCATGTAATATACTGCCGCGCATCGAGGTGGCCTGATTTACAGAGCCACAACCAATTAAACCCCTTACAAATAGGCCAATACCCATATGCATCAATCATTATATAATAATAATAGCTCCCTTATATAGCGTTTAACGCCTTGGGAGTAGCAAGGTACAGCTTGCCATAGTAGAGCCGTTCGGTATACAAGGAAGGTAATGTGGCTAGCACTACGCTTCAACCGCCTATTATTACCTCAGGATTAATTGAATCCCAAGTACTCATTTAAGGCTGAGTCGACCTAGGTACCTAAACTATTTTTATAAAAATAGTCGGCTGATCAAATGCCGGGTGTGGGAATCGAACCCACACCTTGAGATTGGTAGACGAGAGCCTGTACCTCTACGCCACCGGGCACCTATCAATCATTATTATTATAATTATAAAAGAGTGGAAAGAGCAGTATTAGCTCCAGTCTTGGTACCACTGATAAACAGCTTATTTTTATTTACAACCCCTGCAGTTAAAAAAAACTTTTGAGATGGAAACGTATATTATGTGCTATAGATGATTTAGAGAACTTTAAGAAGTTGTTCTACAGCTAGGTAAATGCGTGATTATCCCTAGAAATTTGGATGGAAGACTGCAGCTTTGTATTTTTTTATATAGCTATACGAATATTGATCCAATGTTAACAATGGTTACTTCTGTTGTAGATTTATCATGAATATAATACGTAACCATACTGGGTACACTTACTAAGTACACAGTATGCACTTAGTACGTTTACTAAATACACACATTAGTAACCGCATCATAATAATCTTGTACCATTTATTATTGCCATACCAACAAATATTTGAATCAAATATGCCTTTAATATGAGATACTTATGGAATGCTTTTAATTCGTCCCACATCAGCCTTAGCTCTCACATATCTAATCTATATAGTCCAGGAAGTGTTACCAGTTTCTTATAACTAATAGTGTTTCTTCTAACTATACTAGAAATATTTGGGGATGCGATTAAGAAGATTACAATTTTTATGTTTACATACTGTTAGCTTATGTTTGAAATAAAAAGTTTTGTAGAATTTTACCAAGTTTTGTTTAGTTTTACCTAGTTTACAGTATAGATATTAATTTTACAGTATCAAGAAAGTAAGAAGGCCATTTCTGGACGCTCTGAGTAGAAGGTCATATCATATGACAACTTTTGACATTTTCGAATATAGTTTATTTGAAATTGCAATATGCGATCCATAACGACAATTTTACCCGAAATACCAAGTGTGTGGTATCAAATTATTCGTAAAAATGCTATTTCCAAATATGCTAATCAGCCACCCTCGTTCCATTTGAAAAAAAAATAAGTTATGATTAAAATACGATTTGGGCATCTTTTAACCGACTAGGACAAGACACTAAAAACATTAGACGATCAAACTTATTTTTCCAAGGCCCCTTGATTAAAAATTAGTGTTTTTAATACTGCCATGGCACTCTAGATTGAAATTTAAAATACAATTTTGTTTTAAACGAAATTGTCAAAAGTTGACATATGATTTTGATGTCGAATATGTCATTTTATTCTGAGTAATAGAAAAAAGTACGGAGGGTGCCATTTAAAAATCAAAAGTTGTAGTCATTTCCGGTGAAACAGGAAGTAGTCGAAAAGAATTGGATACGTCAATCAATTTTAATTTATCATATATACTAACATACCTACCAAATCTCGTTTTTTTATCTGAAAAAATAAAAAAGTTATGGGGGGTGAGTCACTTTTGAGACACACCCGGTATACATAAATCTTTAAACTGTTTTAAAAAAAATAAATATTTCCTATACACTCCCTTTAATAATTGATAATAAACAACAATCTTGCGGTATTATTTTAGCAAATTTATTATTATACATATTTTATTAACATATTCAGTAAACATTTTATTTGTTCAAGTGTTCAACCTTTGAGGCTAACCAAGCTAATCTTGAATTGCAGCAATACAATAAGGTATATAGCAATAGTAGCAATACTCTACAAATTAAAATTATTAGAAGAGTGTATGTTAAATAATCGATACTTACTGAAGTAATTAGTTCTCTATTTACTACTGTATAGCCTCTTAAAGATACTTTGGGTGGATTCATCTGGATTGCTACCAAAAACAACTGAATCTGAAACAAAAGGAAGTAGTTAGACGAATTAGAAGCCCGTGGTTTTATAGGCTACATAAAACGTGGTATTACTACAACGGGGACGTTGTTACCTCTTTAATAGCACTTTGGTCAATACTGTTTAAATTGACTTCCATTAAAGACCATTGAACTCTATCAGCAATGTTGGCTGATGCTTGATGTGAACAGTCGCAAAATATAAATAGCAATACAATGCAATATACAGCATCAACTAGAAGTCCGATTTCTTTAAATGTGAATTTTATTCCATGGTCCACGATTTCAGATGTAAAACCATAAAGCTGGAAATACTCTAATTATGTATCTGTTATGTACAATCTATTCAACAATAGAATTCTGACAGTGGCAGTTGTTGTCAGTCATTTTAATTTAAATATAAATCATTTTTTCCTGTCATTTTTTTGATGTCGTTTGTCGAAATCGTCTATTCTTTCCTTGGATAGACTTTGTCGATCAGACATAACTTATATTCACAAGGATGAAACCTTAGGCTTTCAGTTGTGCTCTCACGTGCTTTGAATACCGACGTGTTTGTGGGGTTTGCCCTGTGACACCTTGGCAGATACCAGGTGAGAAAGGTAACTAAAAGAAATAAATGAACTTTACTTATTTTTACATGTCTGATTTTTACATATGTTATCAAGACAGTTATTATAAAGTTATATTTAACCAGTCAGACAGATTGTAATGACCAAACATCCTCTAAACACAAAAATTATTCAACCGTGACTATGAGCGCGGGACAACCGTAACTATGCGTTTCCGAGTAAAGTATTTAAATATTTAAAAATACTTGCTGCTTTCGATATAATATTTTTTCATCTCTATTTAAATAATATTAGCTTATTTATTAAAGTAATAATTAATAATTATTAAAGTAAATTAATTTATTGCATATAAACTACTCATACTACTCAAAACAATACCATATTTTCTAAAAAAATATTAATTTGAAAAAAGACACCTTGAATTCTCTGACTTACGTTTTTAAATAGTTTGGATACTGTTTGGAAATAATGAAAACTAAGCCTGGGAGTGATTTGCAATTCTTAGTCGGCTGACTATTTAGTTGCAGATTTCTAACCAATATAATTCTTGTGGAGCCGCGCTCACATGCAATCAAATAGCCGGCCGATCGACTCCATAAGTATGTATTGTTTTCACTTCTACAACTAATCGTCTTTAAATAGAAATGCAAAAATATTAAATCGAAAGCAGTACCTAACTATTTTTAAAGTATTTAAATACTTTACTCGGAAACGCATAGTTCTCCCGCGCTCATAGTCACGGCTGAATAATTTTTTGTTTAGAGGATGTTTGGTCATTACAATCTGTCTGACTGATTAAATATAACTTTACTAGCGTGTACCAGCGACTTCGTTCGCGTCGAATTAATCATTTGTAATGGTGATGATAAAGCAAAGCAAGAATTTCCATTAACATACAAACTGGATAAAATTTTCTCACATTTATGTCAGCATGAGAAAAAACAATATGGCGATATTATTATATAACTTGGTAATATTTGAGGGGTAGTTTCATCTCGTTTGAATTTGACTTTCGAAAAATCCGTTTGCCAAAAATAAGCTTTTTAGGTCAAGCAGTTTAAGCAGAATCGTGGTTAAGAAATTACCCAACTTTTTGGAACACCCTGTATGATTTTTTAAAAATTTCAAAATATGTAAAAAATCCAAATAAATTATGTTTGTCTAAGCGTTTTCCCGAAAGACCCGTTTTTTAAATAACAAATATTGTAATATTTGAGGGGCGTTTTCACCCTCTTGGAATTTGAGATTCGAGAAACCCCTTCTTATCGAACCTCTACACCCCACAGTCAATCCGTTTGCCAAAAATCAGCTTTAAACGTCAAGCAGTTTAAGCAGAATCGTGATTACTCAATGGTCATATTTTATGAAACACTCTCTATAAATTTATAAAAAATCTTAAAATATGTAAAACAACAAAATAAAATATACGTGTTTAAGAGTTTTTCCGAAAAACTCACCGGTTTTTAAATAAAAAATATTTTAATATTTGAGGGATAGTTTCACCCCCTTAGAATTCGAGTTTCGAAAAATACCTTCTTATCAATCGAACCTCTACACCCTAAAGTCAATCTGTTTTCCAAAAATCAGCTTTTTACGTCAAGCGCTTTAAGCAGGATCGTGATTAATCAATGACCAGATTTTGCGAAACACACTGTATACATTTTTAAAAAATCTTAAAATGTGTAAAAAAAAACAAAATAAAATATACGTGTTTAAGCGTTTTTTCGGAAACTTGACCGTTTTTTAAATAAAAAATATTGTAATATTTGAGGGGTGGTTTCACCCTCTGGGAACTGGAATTTCGAAAAATCCCTTCTTATCGAACCTCTACACCCTAGAATCAACCTGTATGCCAAAATTGAGCTTCTTACGTTGAGTGGTTTGAGCAGGATCGTGATTAATCAGTATGTCAGTCACTTAAGAATTTTATATATTAGTATACATAATAGCTGTCTTAATAACATATGTAAAAATCAGTTCATTTATTTCTTTTAGTTATCTTTCTCACCTGGTATCTCACAAGGTGTCACAGGGCGAAACTCATAAACACACTGGTATTCAAAGCACATGAGAGCACTACTGAAAGCCTAATGGTGCGTTTAGACTTGAGCACGCACGAGCTGAGCGTGCGCGCACGGCATTCGTTCGCGCTCTCGGCTCCGTTCAAATTAAAAACTTATTTTTCGACGAATGAAGTGATCCATTTGTGCGCGCACAGCAGAGTTGTGTTGGCGAAAATAATGGACAACCAAGAAATAGTTGAGGCTGCAGTCATTGTTATGCACATCTTAATTATTAAAAAGAACAAAAATCGAAAACATCGTCGCTGGTGACAAACCCAAATTTTTAGAAATCGATATAATTTACTGCAACAACTCACGCTTCGTCCTACGTGGGAGACAAAAGCGAGCGATTCGGGCGGTGCGAGCGACGATGTATTTATCAAACAACGTTTTCTTACGAAGGTGTCCTAGGTAGGAGAGTCGCGCGACTGAAGCGGCATCGTAGGCAATTCAAATATGTCGTGCTAGTTGCGCTTATCGCCCGCTGTTGTCGCACGCGTCGCTCGCTCGCTTTTGTCTCCCACGTAGGACGAAGCCTTAGTGTCTGAGGAGGGCTATGATCAGTTCAAAAACTTTACAAGAATGACCAGGCCCGACTTTGAATATTTACAAAATTTAATAACACCAAAAATTACGAACAAAAGATACAAATTTTAGAATAGCAATTTCATTAATATCGACATATTCAATATTAATTTTATTTACAAGGTTTTGCCATGCGTTATATTTTTTTGATTTTTTAATAATACAAAGAATGTTTAACATCCCATAATATAGGCAACTTTTCATATTTTTCAATTAATAATAACGAAGATTCATTGATCCACTCCATAATTTTAATAAAGAAAACGAAAAAAAAATTACACACGCACGCACGAACGCAGACAAAACAAATTGCCGGTCCAAATTGAGCGTTCGCGCACACATAAAATCCCTTTGAGCACAGACCAAAAACCGACACCAAACGGCTCACGTTCGCGGCTGCTCGCGCACAGACAGATTCGAAGTGAGCGTGCGCGCACAGCCGTTTACACTTGAGCATTCGCGGAGGATCAGTGCGTGCGTGCTCAAGTCTAAACGTTAATAAGGTTTCATCCTTGTGAAAATAAGTTATGTCTGATCGCTCTGGGATCTTACTCTATACAGGGTCCGGCAATAGTGCGTCGGGCATCTATAGCTCCTAGAATAAATAACTTGAGAATTTTGTATAACTTCAAACCCAAAGTATGTACCAAGATGTATTTCAGGAAAATATTTTAACTTCTATACGGTGGCTCAAAAAAGTGTGAGTGGATCTGGATGATTTTTTTTAAATGGAACACCCTGTATATTATTGCATTTTTGGCTTCCTTTCAGATCACTTTACATAATCCTAAGATATATGGGTATATATTTCGATAGTTTCAGAGATATTGAAAAATAAATCAAAAATATATATTTTTCAGCCCTTCTTAAAAAAATTATTAAAAATACAAGAACTGTTCTGAAATCTAACTGTTCTAACTATATTAGCTATTTACTTTAGATGGTCTGTTCTTACTTTGCTATAAATATGATAATCGTAAATCGTACAGGATGTTCAATATTCTACGCCAAACTTTCTAAAATATAAAATATTTTTTCTTTGTTTTTTAAATGGAACACCCTGTATATTATTCTTTTATTAGATGGAGAGCTAAAAAATGAACATTTTTTGTATTTAAAGTATTTCAAAATTTTTAATAGTTTTGCAGATACACGCAGTATTATTTCATATGGCGCTTACAATGGTAAAATACGTGAGAAAAATCATTGGGTGGCTTTGATAAAAATTTACTGTATAAAATGCCATATGAAATATAAAACCGCGAATATCTGGAAAACCGTTAAAATTTTTAAAATACTCTAAATGCAAAAAATGTTCATTTTTTAATTCTCCATCTTTTGAAAAAATAATATACCGGGTGTTCTATTTAAAAAACGAAGAAAAATTATTTTATATTTTAGAAAGTTTGGCGTAGAATTCTGAACATCCTGTATGATTTACGATTTCCATATTTATAGTAAAGTAAGTACAGACCATCTAAAGTAAATACCTAATACAGTTTTGATTTCAGAGCAGTTCTTGTATTATTAATAATTTTTTTAAAAAAGGGTGAAAAATATAAATTTTTTATTTATTTATTAATATCTCTGAAACTATCAAAATATGTTTACTCATATCTTAGATGTAAAGTGATCTGAAAGGAAGCCAAAAATGCAATAATATACAGGGTGTTCCATTTAAAAAAAATCATTCCGATCCACTCACACTTTTTGATCCACCCTATAGAAGTTAAAATATTTTCCTGAAATACATCCTCGTACATACCTTGGATTTACACTGAAATAAAATTCTCAAGTTTTTTATTCTAAGAGCTACAAATGCCCGACGCACTAATGCCGGACCCTGTATATTATTCATTAATATCATATATCAAAACCTAAACACACAATATTTATTTATTACATTATTATATATTTATTAAAAGAACGACTATTTACGAAAAATTGATATTATTAAAGTTATAAGCAAAAAAATACAAAATCCAGTTTTTCAATTTCTTGCATTTTTCTCATGTTCTGTCCCGAAATTTTGTTGAATTTTAGCACCCCAAAAAACATAATAAATACAAGAAATTAGAACTACCCCACTGAGCGACACTGAGACACAAGTGGCTAATGTGTCGTATAATCCTATATTATTTATTAAAGACTAGGGAGTAATTAAATTATTTAAATCGTTAAGATATCTACATATATACAGGGTGTCCCAATATTCCATGGACATATAGAACTACTAGGTATGTATTTTTAGAATCAAAATAACTTCATTGGACACAACTTACCTCTATACAAAAGTGCTTCGTTTATCCGTTAGAGGGAACCAAACTCTCAAAAAATAAACACATTTTTTCAGATAATTTAAAAACCGTTATCCCGATTTGAATGAGATTTTGGGTGTCTATGATTTACTAAGTGCTTTAACGTTTGGCTGTCACAAAAATGAAGAGAAAGTACGAGGAGGGTGAAAACTACCCCCATCCCTACGTAAATTTTAATATAAATATTTTTCAACTCAACCGAGGACCGATTTTTTTTCGTAGAATGGTCCTTCTAGTATTGGCTACATTTCTTGTCTCTTGTAAAAAAAAAACGCCATCCGCATCATTTGAGAAAAAAAAATATTTTTCCGAAGCTGACTTTCAAAAAATGTTTTTTGTCACATCAAGCTATGGAGGCGAATAAAATCTATTATGCTTTAATATTCTAGTTGGCGAAAATATGAAATTTTATATTAGTATCTAGCATAAATTATATTTGAAAACAAGCTTCATAAAAGCTTAAAAAATAAATAAAATACTCCAAAAATTATTTTCTCAAAAAAATTATGCGATGTGGCGTTTTTTACAAGGGACAAAAAATATAGTAAATACTAAAATAACCATTTTACGAAAAAAATCGGTCTCGTCGGTTGAGTTGGAAAATATTTATGCTAAAATTTATGTAGGGGTGGGGGTAGTTTTCACCTCATCCGTACTTTTTCTTGATTTTTGTGAAAGTGAAATGTTAAAGCACTTAGCAAAACATAGACACCTAAAATCTCATTCAAGTCGGGATAAAGGTTCTTAAAATATCTGAAAAAAATGTGTTTATTTTTTTAAAGTTTGTTGTTCTCTAGCGGACAAACGAAGCACTTTTGTATAGAGGTAACTTGTGTCCAGTGAACTTATTTTGATTCCAAAAATACGTAGTAGTTCTATGTCCACAGAATATTGGGACATCCTGTGTAGAGTCCTACGAATTACTTTACCGATATAGTTATATTTGCCATCATAAAAAGTGAGTACGTAGAATATGTCCGGGCATAAGCATTCCCAAGTCGTTGCAATATCTCACTAAGTTCCAGCCATAGAATTCGGTAATGTTTTATGATGTAATCAGCGCAGTAATTATCAATATCCTACAAAAGTCATATGTAATATTTTTTTTATTTCTTAACACATTACTAATTATTCTAATTAATACATTTTTATGGCGTATTAAAATATCTACATTTGAATTAGCCTATTAACACAATACGATTTTTACATTGATTAATAATACCGTGTTATAAAAAAAAAACGGTGTCAAAGACGACCTATGTCTATGATAATTTTAGCGAAGTTGTTCTCTAAATGTCATTTACTAACAGCTGACATAAAAATATTAAATATAGAAAAACTAGAAAAGAGTAGAATGTTTCCAGACACAAAAAATTATTTCCAAAAAAAATGTGACTATTTTGGTGATCGATACTTGAATTTTTTAACGAGGCGTAGCCCAATTGAAAGATTAGTCGAGATCACCGTTTTTCTACAAACATCACCATTTCTACAAACATTAAAATCGGGATATCCCTAAAAATTATTATTATTATAAATAAAATCTTCGACAGTGGTCGAGGGATACGTCGAGGATTCTATCAACAATAAAATTCAAATATCAAATAAAATTTTAGAGAGTCAAATACCGGGATCAGGTACCTCTACATCAAAATTGGATAGTGTCTCAAGTCCCATAACTCAAGCTCAAAATCAGAACTATCTAGTTTGTGATTACATATTTTGGTTCGTGAACTGTTTATACTATTAATGTTAATATTGTAAATAATAACTAGAATATGCATTAGTGTTAAGTTTGATATTTGTTATTTGTTTATTCTTGAATATTTCGAAATAAATAATTAGTTATGATTTAGTTCTTCATTTTCAAAAAATCAAAGTTCCAAAATCCCACATAATTTACATGCAATGTGCGAAATAGGCATTTGCGCACCGTGTCATGGTAACGTAGGAAAATGAAAAAAAGTGTCACTTCGCACATTGCTGTCAATTCGCGAACCTTGTAATTTTTTGACGTTGTTTGTAGAAAAAAATTATTTTTACTCAATATAAAGGGTGGCCCGAACTATATTCCGGAAACTTCGGCAGCATATTCTGCAGATAAAAATAAATAAAAAAATTCGTATAAACTTATGTCCTTATGGCTTCGTTTCGGAGATCGAGGGTGTAAAAGTTTCATTTTTATTTCGATTTTTTCTATAGTCGATATTTGGGTAAAAATTGGTGTCTTGGTGTTTTTTGACATGAAAAATTTGATTTCGACGATAAAATACCCTTACTTGTAGGGGGCGCCACCTACATGATTTTAACTGTTTTAAAGAGTAGGGGAGAGTGGGCGAAGATGACGCACTTAAGGGCAAAGACTTGTATATTTTTAGCTATTAAAGACAGAAAAGCGAATTAGTGAGCAATAGAAAGTTCGGAGCGATATTTATCATCGTAATTATTAAAATCAATTTAATACTTTATTAAAAAGGGGCAATTTCTAATTCCATAAAAAGTAACACTGCGTCATCTTATCCAGTAGGTAAGGGTAAGATGACGCATTTAATAACAAGAAACAAAATCAAATAATATATCATAATTTAATTAATGAAATATATTTATTATTAATAACAGACTCAAATATTGCTTAATGGTATATGTATTTTATTTAAATTTCAAAACAAATATAATATAATGTAATTAAGATAACATCAGTTGAGTTAAAAAAGTAAGATGACATTAGAAACAAAATTAACGTCAAAACCAACATAAAAAACTTATTATCAAAAATGGCATCTATAATGCAAATGATATAATCGAAATAAACAACACAAAATAACATAAAATCCGAGAAATTATTAAATAACTCAGGATCTGCAGCTATCGCAAACAAAGCCTTCGACTGAATCGCAGTCAGTGCACGCCATGTGTGCCCAGTAACCGCAAATCGTGCATCTAAACCACATTTCTCTGTTCTTTCCGATATCTCCACAAATGACACATTTTTCGTGCTCCGAAACATCGCTCATATTATCTAGATCGTCATCGTCGTCAATTTCTTTTTCATCAAAACTGCTCGTCTCACTATCACTGTCCGGTAGCTTTGTTCTTTTTCTTTTGAGCTTCTTGTTTGTTTTCCTACTTTTTTTGGCAATATTTTTCTTTGCAGCATTTCTTGCTTTTTCATTCTTTTTTTGTTCTTTCTTTTCCAAATCATCTTTAAAGGGGGTGCTCGTTATTATCTGTGAATGTTGTTTTTCTCGCATATTCTTCCTAATAGTAGTTCCCTTTGCCTTTGGAATAGGCAAAACTTGTGCAACGGTGATAGGCTCTGGGTCGAAATATAATAATTGTTTTTCTGGGGGCGGTGATTGCCTACTAGTAGAGGGTTGGGGTGATTTTCTTTGCACTAGGGGTGCAGTAAAAGGTGTCCCATTACGTTGTGGTGAACCATACAGATTTTCTTCCTGAGAGCCAGAATTGAAGCTCTCAGCTGGAGTGAAGTCGTCGGTGAATTTTTCTGGATTTAGTGGAAATATTCCAGCAGCAGAAAAACCGGAAACTCCCTTTTCTACGTTTGCAACCTGTTCATATGCTAGCCTGAAAATTTTGGCAACATCGTAAGGCGCCAATTTATTTTCTTTTTGCTCATCGCTAATTTTACTTTTCAAAAATAAGTTGCATTGCCTACTGTAAGCGTTCTTCAGAGGCGCAAAAAAAGTCAGATCGAGCGGCTGCAACTTGTGCGAAGTATGAGGTGGAATGCTGACCATAACTATCCCGTGACTTTTGCAAAATTCGCAAATAGATAAGGATATATGGCTCGTATGGTTGTCTAATACTAATAGAACTGGATTATCAACAGACGATGATACTTTCGCCTGAAAGTGTTTAAGCCACATCATGAAAACTTGTTCATTGCTCCATCCATTTTTTGTGCAGGTATAAATTGCTCCACATGGTCCATTCCTTTCCAACTGAGGGCTCATTCTTAACCTCGGGAAAATAAATAATGGCGGCACAAAGCTACCTGTAGCATTCACGACACAAATAACCGTAATATTTTTTCCGCGTTCCCAAGAACAAATAGAACCAAATTGTTTAATACCTTCAGGTGCTAGTCTTTTGCTTACTTCCTTTGGGGTTGTAGAGTTTGTTGTAGAGCATCCTGTTTCGTCGACGTTATACATTCGATCAGGACCAAAATGATATTTATTTTGAATTTGTTCCAAGTTAGCGAAAAAATTACTAACTTCTCTTTTATTAAAAGCTGATACTCTGTTTACACTTGTAGCCTCTGACTTCCTCAACGAAATATCTGGATTTCTCTTTAGAAAATTTCTAAACCAATCTGGTCCAGCCATGGCTTGTTCATGGTTAAAGTTGTGTTTAATATTTTTCATCTCAGCATATTTATAAGCAGCTTGTCGGAGTTCTATAGCAGTTATTCCAAAAAATAATTTAGCAAGATGTTTAATATGATCAGCGATTTCTCGTTCTTGTGTTCTTGAAAATACTGGGGCTCGCCCAAGTGAGTCAGACTTGCTTTCTAAAATATTCTTCCTAATTTTAGCACGACGTCTTAGAGTTGCTTCGTGGATATCGAAACTTTTAGCTACCTCGCGAATTTTACGACCTTATTCTATAGCATTAAGTGCAGAAGTAAGAGCTTCTTCAGTAAATGACCGTCTTTCAGTTTTTCGTTTGTATTTACCCATCTGAAAGAAATACCACTCATAACAAATCTTTAGTTATGAACAAAAAGCATTTGTAGGCAAAGATGACGCAACTGAGGTAAAGATGACGCGCGTCATCTTTGCCACTTCGCCAAGCGTCATCTTAGCCAATTTGCAACAGACGAAAAAAATGGCCGAATCTACTTTTCATATAATCTATCACTAGTTCTAAAAGCTTAAGCTGATAGTCATGATCTAGACTACTTACGTTACTAAGAAAAAGTAAGTTTCTATGATAGACAAAACGTTTACACCGAATAGTTTTTGAACTAATTTTTACAGCACCTGACGTCCTTCACACTTTGGCGGCCATATAAAGACTGATTGACATCCGACTCGCTGCTAACTTCATAGGCGCGGTTGTGTTTACCTTATTGTTAATCTAAGTGTTTACCTAATAGGCACGCGTGGATAGAAAAATTAGTTTATAAACACGGCGTGACCGAAATGTTAACATGCGTCATCTTTCCAACTGCGTCATCTTAGCCGACTCTCCCCTAATAACTTTTCGTCCGTACCTGTATAAAACTATTGAGTGAAAAAATATTCATTTCCATAATTTTTTACGTAATAAAGGTCTCTTGGTAAAAATCACTACGAGCAACGTTACAGTACAGTGTTACAGTACAACGTTACAATTATACAGGGTGTCCCAATATTCCATGGACATAGAACTACAACGTATTTTTGGAATCAAAATAAGTTCATTGGACACAATTTACCTTATAAAAAGTGCTTTGTTTGGCTATTAGAGGGCATCAAACTTCAGAAAAATAGACACGTTTTTTAAGTTATTTTAAGAATCGTTATTTCAATTTGAATGAGGTTTGGGGTGCCTATGTTTTGGTAAGTGCTTTATTATTTGACATTCGCAAAAATCAAGAAAAAGTACGGGAAGTGTGAAAACTACCCCCACTCCTTCATAAATTTTAGTATTAATATTTTCTAACTACACCGACGACCGATTTTTTTTGTAAAATTGTCCCTCTAGTATTTACTACATTTTTTGTTTCTTGTAAAAAAGCGCCACTGTGTATACTTTTTGAGGAAAAAATATATTTTTCCGAAGCTGACTTCCAAAAAATGTTTCTTGGCACATCAAGCCCTACATAGCTTGAACTAAATCTGCATAAAATCTATTAGATATGCGTTAAATCTGGGTGGAAATTTTATGTTAGTATCACAAATGATATCTGACAATAAGCTTCATAAAAAGCTTAATGACAATAATCATTTGATCATAAATCAAAAAAATATAAATAAATTTTAAATTAATTAACATTCGGGTTTATTAAAGGGTTTATTTTTGATTGATGCCCTCTAACGGACAAACGAAGCACTTTTGTATAGAGGTAAATTATGTGCAATTAACTTATGTTGATTCAAGAAATATATTCCTAAAATAGAAATATATTCCTGAAATATATAATTATAAATAATTTTTTTTCTCAAAAAATATGCGATGTAGCGCTTTTTACAAGCGACAAAAAATGTAGTAAATACTAAGGGAACCATTTTACGTAACAGAAATTAGTCGTCGACGGAGTTGGAAAATACTTATACTAAAATTTATGTACGGGTGGGGGTAGTTTTCACCCTGTCCGTACAGTTTTCACCCAACCTCAAATCTCATTCAAGTCGGAATAACGGTTCTTAAAATATCTTAAAAAATGTGTTTATTTTTTTTAAAGTTTGATGCCCTCTAGCGGATAAACGAAGTACTTTTGTATAGAGGTAAATTGGATCCAATGAAATTACTTCGATTCCAAATATACATAGTAGTTTATGTCCATGGAATATTGGAACACCCTGTTCCAATATTGTGCTATAGCTTAAAAACCTTCTTAAAGCTTTCTGCCACTGCTGTACTAGCATTTCCAATTGCTCTGCAGTTAATATACCATAACGCACAATTCATATTAATCATTGTAATAATATGCAAATATCCGGTTGTATGGTAGAGAGTAAATCCTTCTAGTAGTACACTAAGGGTGAGAAGGAATCCTACTGCCAGAAATAAACAGCCCAGACTAATAACTCCAATAAGTGTACTTAAATATGGAAACTCCAAATCTTTACCTAGAAAATATAATGCCTAATTAATAAAGCTATAAATTAGTGATGAGCAAATGCTTATAGGCTTCGTGCATTTCAGTTGATTTCAACAAATTCCGACCGCAGCGCTTAAAGGTAAAAATCAGAAATTATCCATATACATATATAGTTCATGCCGCGCCGTTATGTTGCTCCCATTAAAATAATATTGAAATCGTGGTTTTGTCATAATAGGTATTTATATTTATATAAATATTTTTGGTATTTTTTTTATATATTTTTTAATATTTTTTGTAGTAAAAAATAAGTGAAAAAGAATTCGAACTAGGCGTCGTGTTGTGTTGTGACACATTTCAAATGTTAATAAAATTGCCGAAAAAATGGTAATGCATAAAGAAGATCTTAATTAGCGTTACTAGAAAAACCGGTGATTAAAAAACTATGCTCGCTACCGTAGTTGAACTCACCTAAAAAGTTTTTTAACTAAAATAATAAATTATAATACAAGTTAGACCTTCTGAAGATATCAAAATATTTACTTTTTTATTTTTATTTTTAGAATTTTCACAAATTATACTTCCTAACACTTTTAGAATAATTAAATAATGAATTTTTGGTATACTTGGTATTTAAATCCGTGTATTTGTATATGCTAGTTTTTACCGATATTCTCCGATGATGTCAGCACCGGCGCCGCGGACAATGCACCAAGCCAAAGTTTACAGAATAATATTTTATTCTGTAAACTTTGACCAAGCCTACCTATAGTTGTTGATTTTTGTCAAAATCAACCAGTTTTAATGGTATATTAAAATAAATCTTGCATGACCAATTTATGAAAATATTATTGTAAATTTAATAAACTGTACTTACCGGTTATTTTATAATAATTTAGTTGAAACGTCCCCCAACTATTTTTGTAATCGCATACTTCATAAGCAACAGACCATCCAACGTAGGGTATTAAAAAATGGGGAACCAAATAAACAATAAATATAATAGCATAAATGTACTCGTCAAACCGTTTACTTTTGTTCAATAAGATATCAATTCTTTCATAACCAACTAAAGAAAGAATAACAAATTTACATGTATCAGTATATATAAATAAGTATTTGTAGAAATGGAGAGTAAACTTAATAGAGAGATGTCTAAAGATAGCTTTGTATAATTTACTTATTACTGCTACGGATGGGATTTTTTTCGATATATCAATAACTATCGATATATCGACACCTATCCATAGCTACTGATATATCGTCATCTATTGATATATCGATACCTATCGATACCTATCAATGTTTTGATAACATTTTGATAATATTCTAAAACAGCGTACACACTATACTAGAAACAATTCGAAACATGTCAAGGTCGCATAAATGCAATATAACATAAAACGAGATGTAATTAACGAAATATCATCGTAACAACAGCTATTTTAGCAACGTCTAGGTTTACTTATTTCACTGAGATTTATGAAAAAAATTCTTTGTCTCCGGTACAGATACCGCCACGTTTTAGAAATAGTTCAAAACAAAACAAAATTGAACAAAGTAACAAAATACGCCGAAAAAATCCCCCCTCGCCCTCCTCACGAGTAGTTTTCAGGCGCTTTTAAGAATCAAAAGTAGGTCGAGGCAAACCGAAGTGGGTCAAGACAACTGGAAATAAATCGAAATGCGTTCAAAGTTGGGCTACGAAATGCGATATTGACATGTTTCTAGTTGTTTCTGGTATACTGTGTACGCTGTTTAAGAGCTAGCTACATAAAAAAAACCTTATCATCGTCACATGGCTAATTTTTCTTGTGAAGTATCCTTTTGTGTAGCCATTATGAAATAGTCATATTTAGCCGGGGGCGGCTAATCGAAATTATTATAATTATTGCAGAAGTAAAAGTGACTAATATTGATACCAACAATTTATAACAAAATTTTTGTTGTATAGGTGCTTAAAGAGAGACTAAATAAAATAAACTGACTTGGTTTTACATGAGATCTCACAACTTTTTATAGTGGAAGAATTGTGTTGTGAGACTTGGCATTTTTTTACATTCTATGTTTTTGATGGGATAAGTTTTACAACATGTCTAATTAATTTTGAAGGAATATTGTTGTTTGCTATAGATAATTTAATTAGGGTTAAATATGTAAATAAAAAGGACATTTCAATTGTCCTTTTCAAAAAAGGACTGGTGGCAACCCCAATTTTGATGTAATTTTTCAACATAAAAATATGAATAGCGAGTCGAGCATAAGTATAGGATAGAAGAAGAATTAGATGTGCAGATAAAAGGAACTCTGTTATTAGAAGATGAATCTCCATTTTAAATGGTGGTAATAAATAAATACATTTCTCATTTTAGCAGCTTATACCAAAAAAATTCTGAGCACTTCCGCCTGAAATGTCGATAGTGGCCGAACATTCTGAGAAACGGGCAGTATTTTTCAAGTTAAGGGCTCAAACGCACTGACGACACAGGTCGCTGCTACCTGTAATACGTGATAATACCGCAAAATAAAAACACTAAATCACCACAATACACCAAAACACTTTTACTTTTACACTGGACGCGCGTTTCGCTAACCATGTTAGCATCATCAGCAGATGATTATAAACTGAAGTTTTTTGAACTGTTTAGTTTATAATAATCTGCTGATGATGCTAACATGGTTAGCGAAACGCGCGTCCAGTGTAAAAGTAAAAGTGTTTTGGTGTATTGTGGTGATTTAGTGTTTTTATTTTGCTGTGTAACACCAAAGGTTCCAACCCTCAACTGTAATCGTGATAATACCATTAAATCAAATGATACAACACCCACATGAACAACGCCCGCGACCAACAGACTGCATTAAAATATTATTATCTGCTGCTTGTTGCCGCTTTTCTTCCAAATTGATAATTTTTCAGATGAAATCCCTCAAATTCAACGTAAAATTTTCTATAAGATATAGTGTTTTAGTGTAGTTTTTGCACACGTGCAGAAAAACCAAAATGTTAGTATACAGATCAGATCAAAGGGAAACTTAAATCTAGTCTTTTTTTAACATTGAAAATGTTTCTGTTATCCTATATAAGGGAGCCCAAATCGAATTAAAATGCTACATTTGCCACACCATGACGTCATATATACAAGGGTATAGGAAATCTCGGCGCAGCGGCGGCAGTCGGCCAGCGCGCGCAAAAACCATTACATCGCTAATTATTTATTGATATATCTTTATTAGTTTAAAAGCAAAAAATATGGGGTTTGCTTTGATACCTTGTCTAAATTGTTTCTTTTTTTCATTTAGGCCTTCGTTTTTCGTTAAATGAAAGTTATATTAAAAAAAGACTATTTTTAAACCAAATTTTCGCATGATTGAAATGAGTTATTCATGTTTAAAGTTTTTTTTGGTCATAAGCGCTAATGGAAATGTTTTTTTGTAAATAATTATAAAAAATTAGTCCCTACGAAGACTTTATTGTGTACTGGATCAACAAAAAGTATTTGTTTTCTCTATACGGTGGTATTAATATATCGATTTTTGATGATAGTGCCCTTTTACCCAGTCTAATTTTGTACTACTTTCGGAATAAGGGTCTCCATATCATGTACTGTACTTCCATCCCTGAAAAATTCAGCTTGTGATACCGAAGTGAGACGTAAAGTCAAAATAAGCTTTAATCTACCTATATCATAGGTAGGTGTAGGTACTCTAGGTATATTCTACCTAGACAGTAGCTGACAGTAGTAATTAATTTGTTATCCGATAAGTAGTTGTCATTATATAAGTTTAATCATCTTATACCTCCTATAACGGAAGGTTTTGGATTTTTTCCTGATTGGTTTGTTAAACAAAAATATACTGGGCCATATAAATGTCTAACACAATACATGTATTGAATGTACTTATTTTAACTAATGCATTGTTTTGTTTTTTTAATCTCACAAATAAGAAATGTTTTATAGTTTTTATTATAAAAAACAGTGATTATACAATTTATTTGCACCCCTTACACTGTTTTCTGTAAGGGGTGTAACCAGGAGTATATTTCGTAACCTCCTAAAAGGATATAAGAGGGCACAAAGTGTTTTATTACTTAATGCTTAGATTAAAATTTAATAATATATTTGTACATAAAATAAAATAGACTAGAAAGTCAATTAATTAATATTGACGTAATTACTTAATAATTACAAGATTTTTTTTCTAATTATTTTAGTTTATTTTTAGTCACCTAATTATAAAGGAGAGATATCCAACCATTGCATTATTTTACTCACAAATAAATGTTCTTTGGATTTTATTATAAAACAAGGTTTAATTTATTATACACCCCCTAACCCAAACACTCCGAGGAGGATATTTCGTGACCCCTTATTTAAAGTGGACAAGCTTTATTAGTCAATGTTTTAATTACCCAGCGTCTTTAATAAAAATCTAATGTAATTTTTCATAGAAATGATCTGACATAAAAAGCAAATTTTATCTATAAACTTTTTGATTATCTGCAAGGAGTAAACCGCTGACAAATGTCTGTATACCAATGCCAAAGTAATGCCAAAAATACAAATTAAATACCAAAATTTCTCATATAATGCCCCACTAATGCCAAGCTGATTCCAATATAATACCACTAATACCACAAATAATATGTAACACATTTGTTTAACGAATTAACCTGTAACAATAGTGGTAGGTACGTGCACAGATTTTTTCCTAGGTAACTTAAAAGTCGTTAAAAAGTCTAATTATATTTAAAGAAGATATAATTCCAAATAATTGCATTATAAGGCCAATAATGCACAAGTAATACCATTAAAATTTTAGCGTTTTTAATTTGTGTTAACATATTTCTTTAAAAAATTAACCTGTAACAATAGTAGTAGGTACGCGCACAGATTTTTTAGCTAGGTAACTTATTAATTCGTTAAACAGGCCTATAAAAGCTATAACTACATGGGTAACTAATATTTATAATTTTATTCGAGTTTTAATCTCAAATAATAAATGTTTTTACTGGTGTATTTCTGAAGTGTTCATTATTAAAAGTAGATATTCTTCAAGTTATGTGAAGTAATAAGTAATGTTTCCGGTGAGACCGCGTATATGTCACCGGATTCTGGTTAGTATAAAGACTTTTTTCTATAGAAAGAGTTGTTTCTATATTTTTCTTTCAAAATAAGACTAATTTCTTCTTATTCTTTTAAATATTACAGTGTTTCTTTTTCCTAAAATGTTATACTTAATTTTCGCTTAAAATTAAAAAATCACAAATGGAGGAAAATATACGTTATTGAATAAAGTTTATACAAATCACTTTACAATAACAAAAAAGTAAAAACATGTCATGGCGGAAGATATTCAGGTGGCATTTCACATATTTATCTATTAAAATCGAGATTAAAATAATAAACTTGCGTAACATGTTATACATGAGATAGAAAGTTTCAGAATCGATTAATACGCAATACGCTACGCAGTCAACTTGTTCCTATGCGCGGATGAGCGTCTTCAATTCTCTTCCATCGGCCAGGGTTACGACGCCGCGCGCCGCCGAAGAGGAATCGGCCTACGTTTGGCTAAACAGGCTGGACACGGTGGACTAAGATATTGGCGAGTCTATTATACTTATATATATATGAATATTTATAAGCAAATAAATATAATTTGCAAAGTAAAATATGTTGGAAAAATAATTAAGCCATACATATATAAAAGCTCAAAGGTTTTTTTTGTTGCATCCATTCCGCCGAAACCGCTTCACCAATCTTGATGATTCTTTTTTTAAATAAAAGGTATATATATATATGTGTAGATTTGGTATGAAGTATTTTTATAGTGCTTAATGGCTATTTCTTTGTGTAAAACGACTAAATACTAAAACATACCTGAAAAACACCTACACACAATACCTCCAGAAATAAATTATTTGTCATTGTCAGTGGTGTGTCAGTTAAATTATATATTAAGTTTTTAGATATTTTAGGAGCGAGTTCATACCGCCAGCTTTAGATACATAAATATTAGCACAAAGGTTCGTTTAAACGACATTAGTGAATTAGCTACACAAAGCGATTTTAGGAAATTCATCCTCTTAGAGAGTAAAATTATGTCGGAACAGTTTGTTGTATGAAAATTCCTTACATTTTGGTCTAGAAGAATGAAATCCCACAAAAAGAATTAGAAGAAATTTTTGAAATTCATCAACCAAATGGGTAAAGTTAGTAAAAATTTATATAAAATTTGGTGACCTCTGGATTATACACCCCCAATTTGGTCTAGAAGAATGAAATCCTACAAAAAGAATTAGAAGAAATTTTTGAAATTCATCAACCAAATGGGTAAAGTTAGTAAAAATTTATATAAAACTTGGTGACCTCTGGATTATACACATAAAAATTGGCACAAAGATAAAGCGAATTTATGAAATTTATACACTTAGGGAGTAGAATAGGGAATGAAAGTTTGCTGTATGAAAATGCAATACTATAACATTATAAACGAGACAGTAACAAATTTTATACAAGGGTTTATTTAGTGACATCATAACGAAATATATCTTCCTCAATTATCCTTCAAAGAATAAAAAATAACCTATAAAGAGAGTATTAGTGCTCTTAATAAATAAAAAAAAGATGAAAAATAAAAAACATCTATGCTCACTAGCTCTCTATAAAGAAGTAAAAAATCATTTAAATCAATGCATGAACGATTCGAGGTGTAACGCGAACGTAGTCACGGGAAAAAGCTAGTAATTTATTACATTATTTTATTTAACTGATTAATTTTCATTGAAAAGGAATTTTTGTAATTCGTCACTATATTAGTTAAAAACTAAGAAACTCATATCAAATTTAAGTTTTGCGATTTTGACTTATACTTTTTACAAAATCTGAACACATTTTAAAAGAAAAAAAGCTTTTGATAATATTTGTGTAGATTGACTACAAGTTGTATAACATAAATTTCTACGACCGGTCTACCTAGTGGTCTGCAGCATCACCTTGTGGTGCAAACGTGGGCCTGTTAATCTGTGACGTGACGCACAATAGCCAAGAAAAACAGAAGCGTGGCTAAGAATTTAGTAATTTAAAAAAAATGTCTTTTAGATACAGTAGTAGGTATTAAAAAGTTTTGTGTTTAAATGGGGTTTGCGTTTAACAGTTAAAAAATTATATCGTAAAGTGTAACTTACCGTAAGAATTCTTTATTTGTCATCGATCATGATCTGTCATCATGTTAACCTGATGTTTTGTATGTTATTTTGTTTTTTTGCTTGTTTGTCGCATTTTTATTATTGATAATGTTTTATTTAATGTTAACATTACTACTTTTTCAGTGAATCTTTAAATCTCTTGTTTTTTGTTAAGTTCGTTATTTAAACATATGTATCTAATACACTCATATTAACACTAATCATATTTTTACGTTTTTATTCATCATTTTCAATGCCCCCCCGGATGCATCTTTGTGAAGGACTGTGAATTTTTATCAAGGGTCGATTCTAGTAAAAATTCAAAACATTTTTATATGATATACAACAGCAACCTGTTATTATACCTTCGAGTTTCAATGGTAAAAAATAAAAAAAAGCATATTTAAAGTTTCTTTTTGACCTGTATATCTTTTTTCTTCCTCTACAATGTGTGAAAACTATACTAATTACCTTACTGTAATTACCATTAATATTTTAAATGCATTATTTAATATTAGAACATTTAATATGCTCATGAATAGGAACTTCGCTTTTTAGTTAATTCGGATATTTTGACATTTCTGAAAACAATATTTTCTAATTAGTAAAACGTTAAAAAATCGTTAGATCTGACAGCCCTGCTGAAACTGGTCGTTCATCTGGGACGCCCATCTATGTATGCAATATATCCGACCAGCCTTCGACCAGCCAACGGCCAGGTCGTCAGTGCGTTTGAGCTCTAACAGAAATAGGCCAGATTGCCGAATACATACATCTAGATCCGGCAAATAGGCCGAATCCAGATCCGGTTCCTTATAATAACATACAATTGAAAAAAAACGGCGTCGGGGATGGCTTGGAAATGAACGACGCTTTTTCTATTTCTATCCCTACGGTATTTCTACCTTATCAATAAAAATAAAAATATTTACCTAAAACTACTAGAAGAGTTGTGACGCAATAAAACATATAGGCATAGATCATTGGTTTAGATGTCCAACCGAATGTGATCTTTCCTATTTCCCCTCTTTGTACTGGCATTACCCCCATAACCTACAAAAAAGTGTAAATCTATAGATGAGCTATAGAGCATGTTATATTTAGGCCTGTTTTTAAGATTCATAAGTCCGCTCTAAAAGTACTAAAAAAACATATAGAAATAAAAAAAATTGCAATATCATACTAAGGTTTGTAATAATTTGTAATAATGAATTTCATTTAAATTTCAACTAGTAGAATCTGAATATTCTTTGACAAAAATTGTGAGAACAACATACTTATTCGCTATTATCAAGAATATTTAAGTATTTTGGAGATCTACAAATTGATAGAAATGAAAGCTACAATGTGATGCCTAGTACCATTTTATACGCAAAATTGTTTTCTACAAGTATTGGAGGTTTATTACAGTTATTATCCGTGTAGAACAGGGACAGAACATAGTAGAAATTATTTGTAGATATGGTTGAATAGTAATACTGGTTATTTTCATTATTGTTAAACAGGCCCTTGTTAATTTTTAGGGTGCAATAATAATAATTTCTTGTTTATTTTGAAAATAAATGCACAAAAAACACATAATGTTAATTGGAAACATGGAAGACTCCTTTCTTAACCTGGAATGGAATTCCTCCAACGGTCTAGTCTCTAGAAAGATTAATCTCCGGATTTTTACGGGGTTTTAATAGGACAGTGTCTTCTTACTGAACACCTTAGTAGATTGAAGCTAACCAACAAACGGCGAAAGCAGATTTTGTGAGGAAAATGGAGAAACACCAGAACATCTCATCACTGAGTGTGCCGAGATGACAACCAGTCGTGTCATAAACTTTGGTACGACTGATATCGAAGATGGAGAACTAACCTCTGACCTACTGACGAGCAAACTTTGTACACTACTAAGAGCTAGTCTGGCCTTAAGTTATATACCGAGAATTTGGAGGCTGACCAGGGTAGCTTTTATACCCAAGAATGGGCTTCTGGACTATTCTACGGCGAGTGCCTATAGGCCCATCAGTCTTATGTCCTTTGTACTAAAGACTCTTGAGAAACTAATGGACAGGTATGTTAGGGATGAAGTCATGGGGAAAAGATCATCTTTTCTTTTGGTGGCGAACAATGAGTCATCAGTTGGTCACCAGCGACAATTTTAGCAATTTTTAAAGTTCGTGTGTAGTGAACTCTGTATAAACTTTATTACAATGCCGATTAGTTGTTCAGCTTTCAAATGTAAAAGCAGCAGTGACAAGAAAGAGCCAGGAGTTACGTTTCATAGGTAAAAAACAGTCCGCTCCACCTTTTTAGCGTTTTCTCAAGTTTTCTTATTGAATTCGATAATTATTTTTCTGATATTATATGTACTTGATGTGTGCTATACGTCGATACTAGTTTTGTACCTTTTGTTAACATTTTAATACGTTTTTTTCGTAATTAATTAGTATGATGCCACCGCCTACACCATAGGCGGTGGCCAAAGAAGGCCAAACCAAACCAAAACATTTATCAAAAATATAAATATCCCTTCAACTAGCGAAGTTAAGAAAAAAATATGGCCACGGCACTGTTTCGTGCCATGGTAACAATTTACTCTCGGGTGTTATTTGTCCTTGAATTATTTAGTCATTTCGCTGGATACCAAACTAACCTGGAACCGACATTTGGAACATGTCACGAAGAGGGCGGTGACTACACTAGCAATAGTCAGACGACTTCATGGAAAAATCTGGGGCCTCAGTCCACAGATGGTGCACTGGCTGTACACTCGAGTAGTGAGGCCTTCAGTAACATATGCATCCTTGGTATGGTGGCCTAAGGTAATGCAACAAACTCTCTCAGCATAACAAGTATCTAGACTTTCCGTTCCTTTACATAGTGATCCAGGTGGAGGCAAGAATGGGACTCTATCGACAACAAAGTGTGTTGTCTCTGGGAAATAGGACAGAAACAGGACACTTAAAGATGAGAGATTCTATCGGGGGACCTCTATTCCAAATGAGATCGGACCAAATGACCCCCCCCCCCCTGTTTCACTACCACAAACCATTCAAGGTGAATAAAATGGATCGAGAAATGTGGACAAATGTAACATTCCTTCAGGATGCACTAACCTGGTACACAGATGGGTCAAATACCACTGAAGGAACAGGAGCTGGAGTATTTGTGGAAAGACCAAGGGTAAACTTATCCTTTACCTTGGGTAAATACTGCCGTATTCCAGGCAGAAATCTTCGCCAGTTTACAATGTGCGAGAGAAAACAATAGAAGAGCTTATTTAGGTAAGCTCATCAATATATGCTCCGGTAGTCAGGCGGCACTTGGGGCGCTTATGAGCCCAAAGGTACCGTCGAGACTCGTTTGGACATGTCTAGGTGAACTGGGAGCTCTGGCACGAAGGAACAGAATTAAATTATTCTGGGTGCAGTGCCACAGCGGCATCCAAGGCAACGCAAAAGCCGAGGAGCTAGCTGGGCAAGGATCATCGGCATCCTATCTTGGTCCAGAGCCAGTACTGGGACTACCCAAATGTATGGCCCGTATAGTACACTAAAACTCTGGATCAGAGAAAAGCAGAATGTCCACTGAAGAAACAAACAGGGGTACGGGACAGTAACTTTATCCAAGGACCTAGCTCTAAAACCGCAAAAGAACTGCTAACGCTTAGCAGGAATAAAGTGCGGATTACAACAGAATGGGTGCAGATATAGAAAGGGGACAAACGCAATAGGCCTCACAGGTTACAAGTTGCAGTGTTTCCGGCAGAGGATGGCCCCTTATTATTGAGAAAAAAAACTCAAGAAAGGGGGACATAATAGATCTATAAGATCGCGTTGATTAACTTAACCCCTTCCATACATTCTACATTTTACTTAATTTCGCACATAAATACACTTAAAACAGAAATAAAAAATATGCGTTAGTTTATTGACAACATACCTTAAAAAGAATCAACAAAAGCTTATGGTCTCTGTAGAACTGATCATGTTCATCAATTATTTTACCGTCTTTAGGGTCAAGACTAAATCTTTTTGATATTTCTCTAGCCCTAGGACTACCTCTGCTTTTAGCTAATGATTTAATGTGCAGTTCTTCTCCATAAAGATCGGCTAAATCTTTTAACTGCATTTTATGTATTGGTTGCTTGGCATCCATCACTTCTAACTCTTCGTTAAACTTCAATTCAAATCAATGTATTTTCAGAACTATTTCAAATAATGTTACTAATTTCTTTTAAGTTAATTAAATCGTTAAACTTATAGTGTCGACCATTCTCGATTATCTAGAACTAAGCGGAATAAATGGTCTACTTCCAATCGATTAAAGAATTTATAAATAATTAATTGTGACTTTTAGATCCAGGCAAATGTAATTAGAACTAACAAACGGGCGTAAATTATGAAATAATGTTTATTCAAACAGCTCAACTATGAATGCTAGAGCGAATAATTCTCCTATTAGTTTTGTAATTATAGTTCATAACATATAGCGTGCTATAGTATTCTTTACTTCTAAACACCTAGAAGTTTTAATTATTACATGAACTTCCACTGGCTAATTTAATAACACGTTTGGCTACGGCTCGACATCTTTTCAAGAACAATTTTCTGTGGCGGCTGGCGGTAAAATTCTGTTTATTGTCAGGTTACCATGTATAATGTAGAATGAGTAAGAGGAGGGGTTAATCACTGCGACCTTAAAGATCTATTGTGCCCCCCTCCCTGGGTCATCACACTGTCCACAACCCATCATACCCCTGTTGTAGAGGGGACAGGGTATTTCACATCCTCCTCTGACAACAGTTCTTCCTCCGAGGGTACACACCCTTCCACGGTTGGAGTTTGGCCCTCCGTGCCGCCCTTCACAGTCGATAAGCTTGCCTCCGGCTGAGGAACCTCTGAGGTGGAGGCTGGAGGATCTGTCTCCATTTTCTCCACCTCTTTAACTTGGTTTGAACCTGATACGGGTGTTGTCCCGTATCTATAATAGAGGATATGTCCCTCTTTCTCTGTTGCCTCCTTGGATTTGAGGTCAATTCCTATTGTGAGGACCTGACCATGACACTCCTCCGTCGAGTTGATGACTCGCCAACTCGATGTCCTTACATTGAAGTTCTGACCCTGGATAAGGCTCAGCAGGTAAGTGGATGGTCTTTCCCCTTGCTCCTCGGCAGAGAAACCGTGATGGCGGCCCCTTCCGGATGTTTTCTCTCTTCACTGCAATCAGTTCCGGCCCTTACCAGTTTTTAAACTTAGGTGCGATTTCCACCAACCAATTCGCGGATTCTTGAGATACACAATCTATGAGGATCATGCCCACCCGAAAGTGTATCCCCGCAAAACGCAGCTGACCCACATTTTGTAGATCGTTGTGTTGCGATCCGATCGCCACTACTTCGTCCAGTATAGCCTCATCTAGAGACGTTTGCTGGTCGGTGGTCAGAGCAACCTCTGGGAAATCCTTTGGCAGCACCGCCATTTTCACTTTCCCAGCAATAGCGGCAAAGTTGGTGATACGTCCCTGCTTGTCTCGTGGGGTTACCAACAATTTTTTGGGAATTCCGGACAAGTGAGCTCTAAAATCAGTTTTTTTTGGAAGTGTAAAATACCTTTACGTACGGAGTGTGGGACACAATCTCTCCTTATGCTGTCTGGAGGACACTACCCACTAAACGTCACCCCCTTGCTCCTGCCACGTCTACCTGGACCCGCTGGACGCATTTCCTCAAGTAACGCCGGACTGTTCCTTTTTTGTCATTACCCCTGCTCTTCGCTGTATTTTGCCTCTAGTATATTTTGGGCCAGTTTTGAGATGGCTTCAAAGTTTTCTCTTCTTTCTGTTACCGATTTTAAGAGGGTATCTGCGGAGATGTTGCCACCAATCGTCATGCGTGCCTCACATCTTTCCTGTTCCCATCTTGGACAAGCAAACATTGTGTGTTCTGGAGTATCATTGGGTTCAGCACAGTATCGGCATGCCGCGACTTCCCTCTTTCAAATTTTAAACAGGTAACTCCCAAAATTTCCGTGGCCAATCAATATTTGAGTAAGATAGAAGTT